CACATGTGTTCCTTCACATTGGCGCCAATGACTCTAATTTCGGAGTGTATATAAGCTTTCCTCCTTCACAATTGCAAGCACTTTGAACATATATGAAATTTGTGTGCCTTGAGCCGAGTTTCCTCTCAAAGTCTCCGAGAATCTCACATCAAAAACCCTAGGAGAGTTCCATTATGTCCTTCTCTTTGAAGTGAGAATCCATTGCTCCTTAAGCTTGGATGCTTCCATCCAAGTCTTAGGCCTAGTTCATCCGAGAATCCTTCATCCTTCAAGTGTTCATAGTTGCGGATTCAAGTCTCCTTTGAAGAAGATCCAGCCTAGGAAAATCCGAGGAGAAGAACATCCTTCACTTCTCCTAGTTTTGCCATCAATTTTGGTATCAAGAGCAAGGTCTTCAAGGAGATCAGTGTCTCCACTTTTTTGTGTCCGTGTTCTTGTGTCTACATTGGTTCGATTTTTGCTTTCTATTCTTGTTCTGACCCATATGTGCTTTTACTTTACACATTTGAGTTCTTCATTTTCTATTAGTCCTAGCAAATTCCTTAGGGTTAGGTTTCTTTGATGTCTCATTAAAAAGTTTGTCAATAAAATTTCTAAACACTTTCCTATTAGGTTTCCTTGCATTTTTGTTTTGTGGTTGAAACTTATATCACTTTTTAAGTTCTCAAAACAGAGGCAAAATAGAGGTATTAGTGTTCAAAAGCATTGGAAAAACAAAAGAAAAGAGTGCTTGAAAATTGACCTAAAATTCATACAAAAAGTGTGAGCACTAAAACACAAAATCACTAGTATACCTTTTGTTTTGTGGAATTTTTTTTTGCAGCAGTTTTAAACATTAAATCCAAGACATACATAATTTCGTTAAAAATGAATTAAAATCCTAAGATTACAAGAAAAAGAAGTGAAAAAGAATTTGCAAAAAGAACAAAAAAAGAACAAAAGAAAAAGCCAAGGAGTAGAAAATTTGCTTAAGATTTCTCTCCGTTTTGACATTTTGTTGCGTATCTTAAAAACTGTCCAGTCATACATTGCTTGATTTTGAGTCTTATTTTGTTTTGTAATCTTAGATTTTGTTTTGTAATCTACTCTAGTGCCATTGATAGGTTTCCCTTTGTGTGCTAGCCTTTCTTTGGTGCCTTAATTTTTCCTTGTCTGTATTTGGAATTCTTTCTAGTCTTGTCTCATCTATTTCCACCATTTGGTGTAGCTTCTCCTAATTGTTCCTTTTCAGTTTTACCATATATATTCTAGCAACTTAAGGTGTGTTGAGTGCTTCTTGAAGGTGTGGAAGGCCAAGCTACAAAGGAAGCAAAAATTGGAAGGTTTTGTGGTGGCCTAGGAAGCTTGTTTTTCCATTGGAGGAAGGCTTTGGAAGCTTAAACACCTAGGAATAACCAACATCAAGGTTATTCCTAAGAGAGGTGTGAAACACTTGGAGATTTGTTGCAGCTGAAAGGAACTTGAAGGAGCAAACAAATTTTGAGAAATTGTGAAAATTAGAGACTAGTTTAGAGATGGAAATTTTTGTCACAAAATTTTTCCTTGTTAAATTTGTCTTTAAATTTGTCACTAATTTAGTGGCTGAATTTTGTTTTCTAAAATTTGGTGCAGCCACTACCTTTCATTTAGTGTGAATTTACATTTCATTTGGTGTGAATTTACATTTGACTTGGTGTAAATTTATATTTCATTTAGTGTAAATTTGCATTTCATTTGTTGTACAAGGCCTTTAGGAGTGTCTTGGAGTGCCTTTGGTGCATTTCCATCTCTCCTTATTGTTTTCAAACTAGGTAATTCGTGTAGTACATGTGAGAGTACGGATCCCTCTTGAAGGTTTAAAGGATTCCAGTGCTTCACCATTCCATAGCACCTGCATAGATGTTGTAGAATAGCAATATTGGACCAGTTCTGTAAACCATTGAGGGAAGCCAATGTCGTCGAACGTTTCCTTAATGAATTTTCAACTCAATCTGTCATACGCTTTTTCAATGTCTATCTTTATCGCCATCCACCTTTTCTTCCCTTTCTTGTGTCTCATTGAATGTATGACCTCATGTGCTATGATTATGTTATCCGTTGTTTGCCTATGAGGGACAAAATTGCATTGGTTTGGATCAACAAGACCTTCCATCATTTTTCTCAAACGAGTAGCAAGGGATTTGGTTAAAATCTTATAGGTCACATTGCATAAACTAATTGGCCTCATTTATTTTATAGATTCTACATTATCAACTTTAAGAATCAACGTAATAAAAGTGTGATTGATTTCAGTGATCTTACTTGGCTCTTCCTGAATAGAACGAATAAGATTGCAAAGAGACTTTCCTATTGTTTTTCGTTGTGTTTGGTAGAAGATTGCTTGGAAACCGCCAGGCCTAGGTTCCTTGAGACCTCCCATGCGTTGTATAGCCGCCATGATTTCTAGATCAGAAAATGTATCATCTAGGCTCTTTTTATCATCACTAGATAATTCTGGGAATGTCCCTGTTAAACAAAACGGTGTAAAAACTCCAGGGTCCTTAAATAAATTTTTGTAAAAGTTTGTTACCAATTCCAAATTTTTCTTGTTCTCTATCCAAATTCCCCCGTCGTTTTTTAGTTTAAGGATTCTATTTTTCCGTCTTCTTATAATAGTGGTGCTGTGGAAATATTTTGTGTTACAATCTCCCATCTCTAGCCATTTGCACCGCGACTTTTGGTACTAAAGGATTTCTTCCCACACCAGTATTTCCTCATATTGAGCCCACAGTTCTTTAGAGAGATTTTCAAGATAAGGGTTGTTCTTTTGTTCCAACTTTAGAGCAATTCCATTTAATCTCCTCAAAATCCTGCGCTTGGTGAGGAATATATTTCCAAAAGTCTCTTGATTCCATTTAGTAAGATTGTGTTGAGTGCATTCCAGGTTGTTGTTCCAGTTCACTCCCATATTCCAACTAGCTTTGATCAAATTAGGAAGCTCAGGATGTGTGAGCCATGCGGCTTCGAAACAAAAAGGCCGATGGACTTGTGATGCTCTCAAAGATGGGTCAAGTTTTCAAAGCAAAGGGCAGTGATCTGATTTCAGTCTATGAAGATGGAATACATTCGCATGAGGGAATTTCAACTTCCATTCCATGTTGGCTAAAACTCGGTCAAGCCGTTCCAATAGATTACCTTTTTTCCATGTGAAAGGGTTTCCTTGAAAACCCATATCCACCAAATTACAATCATATACCATCTCCCTAAAAGAGAGATCCCCCCTGTACGAGGCCAACTGAGAGCCCCCTTGTCTTTCATAGTCATGGATCACAGCATTAAAGTCTCCCAAAACAAATATATATGGAGATAAAGGGTCCCCTTGACGGATCCCTCTTGAAGGTTTAAAGGATTCCAGTGCTTCACCATTCCATAGCACCTGCATAGATGTTGTAGAATAGC